GTTGGCCCATCATGTGTGCCAGCTGTGGCGCGTCCATTGGGTAGGCCATGTTGTTGTGCTGCAGGATTATTGTGAACTGGGTGCTCGACGCATTCACCGCGCGCCGCAAGAGGTTGCTCAGGCCCTTGTACCCGATCATGGATTGGCCGGCCTGCTGCGCCTTGTTGCGGAGGATGTCGAACTTGGTGGAGAAGCTGTCGACGCGCTCCAGGGCCAATCGGTTGAAGTCATCAGAGCCGATGCCGCCTGTGTGCGCTCCTCCTCCTCTCCGAGCTGGCCCTGCCGTTCGGCCTGGCGGTGCATGCGATGGGTCATGGGCGGAGCTGGGTTGCCTTTGGCATGGCCACCTTTGATGAGGACAGCTGGCGGCCACTTGTCCACGCACTCACGAGCCATGCCGGTCAAGAGAATCGAAGCGTAGGCCGCTTGGCGAAACATGTTGAGGTCTGCACTCGCCGCAGACCAAACCACCACCTCCCGCGCCCAGCGCCGGAAGGGCACGCGAGCTTACTGCTCGGGCCCCCAGGTGTGGAGGCGTCGCATGTTGCCGCTGCCGCCGCCGCCCGCGTCCATGCAGGCGATGCAGATGATGGCAGCGACCATGCCCGCTCCAATGGCCTTCCATCCAGAGTGGAACCCCCCTCCCGGTGTCGAGGAGACGTGACAGTCCTGGTGCGAGCCGGCGGCGGTGTTCTGGTAGTGATCCTCGAAGCCGTCGTGGTTGTCTGTCCCTGCTATGCTCCTCCTCATCAACGAATTGGGTCTACTCTTCTGTCGTGTGAATGGCGTGCGGGCTGCGCTCGGAGCACGCCACCACGTGGTGGCGAGAGAAGTCGTCACACGTTGTGTTGTCACTGTGCTGCGCACTGCCGACTGTGCGATCGTCAAGAGGAGTAAGCACAGGGATCTGGGTCTGCCAATGCGCAGGGGGTGCGTCGGTAATATTGAGGGTCATGTCCCTTATGGGCTCCCGAGCAGGTCGAACACAATTCGACAGTGTCCGGGGGGGAAGGCGCGGGGGGCGTTGTCCTTGTTGTAGATATCCATGTAGATACTCTCGTGCCCTTGCACATCCATGGTTCCTGGCGGGTGGGCGGCTGGTGCCCCGACAGTCCCGAAAGAGCTGTCCTTAGCCTCAACGACCTGAGGATGTGCACGGTGGCGAGCGCGCTACAGAGAACGCGGCGCCTTGGAGAGCATGTAGAACGGATCGACGTAGAGCGGGAGCCGCCTGCGCGAGGGCGTGCCACGCGGGCCATGGCGGCTGTGGATCGCGGAGCAACGTGCTCCAGTACCAATCGAGATGTAGAACGATGGGTATAAGAGAATGTTACCCTGAATGTTAAGCGCCTAACGATGTAGAGCAAGTGTCTAGCGGACGCGCGCAGGAATCCGCTTAGCCAAATGCCAAGGGACCAGCACATGCCTGCCGCCCTTACTCACTGCTATGCTGCACTGGTAACCTACCGTTCGAATAGGAAGACGAGGAGGAAAGGCAGGAGGAGGAGGAGGAAGAGGAGGAGGAGGAGGAAGAGGAGGAGGAGGAGAAGGAGGGGGGAGGAGGAGGAGGAGGAGGAGGAGGAGGAGGAGGTTGAGGAGGAGGAGGAGGAGGAGAGGAGAGGAGGATACGGATGGCGAGGATGCGGAAGTGTGCAGGAGGAGGCGGAGGAGGAGGGAGGAGGAGGAGGAAGAGGAGGAGGAGGAGGAGGAGGACGAGGGGCGACGACGACGAGGCAGCGCCGCTCGCAACTCCGCGCGCCCTACGAGCCAGCGGAGCCGTCCGCCCGCGACGAAAGCCCACGGCTGGCAAGGCAGCCCGCGCCTGGCCGGTGCAATATTTGCTTGCTACCGTGGGCCTCGCGCCTGCTGCAGCGGTCTTTCGCCGTGGTCCTCTGCGCGGCGGATGGGCTCCCCCCTCCCTTCACCATCATCACCATCATCATGACCATCTTAACCACCACCACCGCCGCCACCACCACCGCCATCAACATCATCACCATCATCATCATCATCGTCGTCATCAACATGTCAATCGTCATCATCATACTCCTCCTCTTCCTCCTTCTCCTCCACACCATCACCATCATCACCATCATCATCATCATCATCCTCACCCTCATCCTCGTTCTCATGCTCATCCTCATCGTCACCATCAACGTGATCATCATCACCATCACCATCACCATCATCACCATCATGATCATCACCATCATCATACGCGTCATCATCATCATCAGCATCATCATCATCATCATCATCATCATCATCATCATCATCATAATCACCATCATCATCGTCATCACCATTACCATCAACATCACAATCACCCTCCTCCTCCTCCTCATCATAACCAGCATCACCATCAGCATCAGCATCAGCATTGTCACCACCACTACCACCATCCTCCTCCTCATCATCAACATCATGACTTTCATCCTCATCATCATCACCATCACCATCCTCATCCTCATCCTCATCCTCATCCTCATCATCATCATCATCATCATCATAATCATCACCATCATCATCGTCACCACCATCATCATCATCATCATCATCATCATCATCATCACCATCAGCATCATCATCATCATCATCATCATCATCATCATCATCATCATCATCATCATCATCATCATCGTCATTGCCACCACCATCATCATTACCATCATCACCATCACCATCCTCATCACCATCCTCATCCTCATCCTCGCCTCCTTCTGCCTCCTGCTGGAGGCGAGCCAGCCCGAGCCTGCCTGGCGGCAAAACCCCCGGGCGGCGAGCGGCGGGCGCGCTCCGGCCTCCGCCCTCCCGCGCTTCTGGCGCCGGCCCTGCCTGCGCGCCCGGCCTCGTTCGCTCGATGCTCGATCCTCGACCCCAAAACCGTCCCCGATCCTCGATCCTCGACCTCTCGTCCTCGATCCAGTCTCGTCCTCGATCCTCGACACACCTTCGCCCCCCAAGCCTCGACCCTCGAGAGCCTCGAGAGCCTCCCCCGAGGCCTCTCGCGGCAGGCGGGCCGCCGCGAGCGCCAGCCGCCCACGCAGAGCGAGCTCGGGGCGCAGCGGGGCCCTGGCTGCTTGGCCAGCGGACCTGGGCATGGAGCCTTCGTGGGCGAGGATCGCCCAGTCATGTCGTCCTCCTCCCTCCAATAAGGGGACAGAAAAGTGGAACCCCTTCGTCTTCGACCCCGCGTTCGCCCCCCCTTCCCCCCCCCCCCCCAGTTTCAAAACTGGCTTCGGCCTCCCGGTCCCGGAGGCCCTGGGGGTTCCGCTTTTGTTGTCCTCTCACGCCTGTGCTGCCGAATGCTTGGTGGCAACCTTGAAATTGGGGGGAAGGGGGGGCGCGGCGTCAAGGGTTCCACTTCTTGTCCATCTACGGTCCCTTCAGCTCTGTCCTTATGAGAATGTCAGCCAGCGTGGACCCCAAGCAGTGTGTTGTAGCACACTCTGCAATGCTGTATGTGCGATGCAGCCTGCGCTAAGCAATCTGTGCTGTGCAATCCATGCAGTGCCAATCAATGTGGGGCAACCTCTGCACTGCAGTCGGTGCGGTGCAATCTTTAGTCGCACCACGTTGGTTGCACCATGCTTTTCTATGTTATGATGTTCCCCTCTGTGCTATGTAAGCCCTGCTGCGGTAAGCTGTGCTATGCTGTGCTGTGCTACGCTATGCGAGTTGACGAGTGCGAATGGACGAGTGCAAAAGATGACGGACGGCCTGACCAGCACTGGGGCCCAGTTACCTCAGAACACAAGTGAGGACCCCGAAGCGCAAGCCCTGTTTGGGGAATAACTCCTCCCAGTCGCACCTCCAGACGTGTGCGTAGGGAGGGCCGGGACAAGCACAACACACATATTGATAGCAGCAACCCTCTAGGAATTGGCCTGCCTTGTTCGGGGGGGTGGGCCCCGGTTGAGAGGGACTGTGTCGGGCGGCGGAGCGGTCGCGTCCCCGCCCCAAAAAACGAAAGCAGCGGCACTCCTCTGGGGCTCACCGGGGGGGGGGGGGGGGCTTGTCACGAGTGCCCAGGGCAGAGGGGCCAATGTTTTAGGGGCCCCAGGACACACAGATAGATACACACAAATACAGGGATTCCCCATATTTTCCAATATTTTCTGGGTTTTCGTCTTCCCCCCCCCACTTCCCATACTTTCCCATATTTTCTGGGGGGTCGACGACTCATTGTGTCTGTGTGTTATTCTTTCCCTCCCGAGCGAGGGCCCCGGGCAGAGGGGCCAAGGTGCGGGAGCCCAGCAGGGGGGGGGCTTGTCTGCACGCCCGACCGAGAGCGGCCACGCGGTGGAGGCCGGTCCACAAGAGACCGTCCACAAGAAGCCCAACCCCGAGGCCCCAGGCCGCGCATGGATTTTCGGCGTGGGAGCGTCACGCTCTCCACAGCAGGAGCATCGGATCTCAGGGCACCCTGGAGGCAAGCAGGGCGTCTCTTGGCACAGGTCCCCGCTGTTCCCGGTGTCGGAGGAGGAGGAGGAGGAGGAGGAGGAGGAGTAGGAGGAGGAGGAGGGGGAGGAGGAGGAGGAGGAGGAGGAGGAGGAGGAGGAGGAGGAGGAGGAGGAGGAGGAGGAGGAGGGAGGAGGAGGAGGAGGAGGAGGAGGAGGAGGAGGAGGCGGAGGGACCTCGGCCGAGAGAGCGCCAGCGTCCCGCGCCAGGGCCAGGCGTGCAGCGAAGCCCACGCAGGGGCCACAGCCTGGGGCCTAGGCTTCGGTCGGGCATGTCCTCCTACAGCCTGATTTTCGAAGACAAATAACAGGCGCTCACAAGATGCTCGAGCATAGCCCTCAAAATACTCGGAACATCGTCTCCATGATATTTTTTGACTATGTTTGGACATGTAGAGGAACATGCTCGTCTTGAGCCTAGACCGCTCCTGGCCCTGAAGCCCAGCCCCTCTTCAGGGCAGGCCTGGAACCTGACCCGCTGCCCTCGATTTTCGTGACTGATGAGGCAGGAGTGCAGCGGTCGCGCTGCTTGTGCCGCGTCTAGGGCGCCCTCTTGGCCCTTGCCTTCAGCCGCTTGCGGACCAGCCCGGCGATGCCCTCGATCACCTTGGCGCGGCGCGCGGCGTGGCCGCTGGCGGCGGCGCCGCCGAGCTCGTCGAGAATGGCGGCGAGCTCGCCGCCCGCGTCGGCGGCGATCGACATCGCCACGTCCTCCTCCGCGATGTCCCCTGGTGCGGTGGGCGCTGCTGCCGCTTCGCCGATGCCGCGCAGCACGCTCACCGCCTCCCTCCACAGCGGCTCCGTGGCGGCCGCCACCACACGGCCGTGGGTCTCGGAGGCGGACTGGAGCGTGAGGGGTTTGCCGTTCCAGTCGGAGATGTGGCCTCCGGCACAGGCCACAACGGCCACCAGCGCGCAGTAATCGTAGATGCCTAGGTCTGCCTCCACCACCAAGTCCGCGCCGAATCCCGAGGCAACCAGAGCGTAGGCGTAGCAGTCGCACCCGTACAACGGCCTTTTGACCTTGTCGCGCAGCAGGGCGAAGCGCTCCGCCTCCTCGCCGGGAGCGAACATGTGGGGCGTCGTGGCGTACAGCATCGCGTCTGCGAGCGCGCCGACGCCACGGCTGCGCACAGGCTTCCCGTTGAGGCACGTCTGACCGTTGGCTCCAACCCAACGCTCCTTGAGCACGCACTGATCTATGATGCCGATCGCCGGCTTTCCGTCACGAAGCAGGGCGATGAGCGTACCGAAGAGCGGCTTGCCTGTGATGAACGACTTGGTCCCGTCGATCGGGTCGAGAACCCATACGTACTCGGCCTCCACGCGAATGCTTCCGAACTCCTCGCCGTATATTCCGTGCGAGGGGTACCGCTCCTCGATCAACTTTCGCATGGCCGATTCCGCCTCCCGGTCGGCCACCGTCACTGGGCTCTCTGCCACGGGGCGGTCGTCCTCGATCTTGGACTCCACCTGCAGAGGAAGAATAGCAAAGGCGTGCCCGTACACTTCTGGAGATCCGCGCAGGTTTCCTGGGTCTGGGCTTAGCTCGGGCATGGCCCCCTGCAGGCGGAGTTTTGGGGAAAATTGAGAACACCAAAAAAATGCACCAAAATAGTGAAACACACTAAAAAGATCGTCCCCCGACTTTTTTGTTTTTCAAATATAAAAAATACATATATATATACACATATGTATATATATATATATATATATATATATATATATATATATATATATATATATAAACAACTATTTTTCAACATTCCTCCTGCAGAGGGACAGGCCCGACTTCAGCCTGGGCCCCCCGCGCAGCGCCGCGCGCGCCACCGCGAGGGGTCCAGCGCCGATCCAGGGAAACCCGCCTGGCCTCCTGCGCTGTGCCGCTCCAGCGCTCGCGGGAAGGAAGGACTTCATACTCTGGACGCGGCTCGTTCGTTTCCTCCCCCCCCCCCTCCTCCTCCTCCTCCTCCTCCTCCTCCTCCTCCTCCTCCTTCCTCCTCCTCCTCCGTCCTCTTCCCGTCCTTCTCCTCCTCCTCCTCCTCCTCCTTTTCATCCTCCTCCTCCTCCTCCGTCCCCTCCTCCTCCTCCTCCTCCTCCTCCTCCTCCTCCACCTCCGCCCCCTCCTCCCCCCTCGCTGCCCACCGCTTTTGGTGCCCCATTTGCTCCCGGAATGTCCCTCCCGAGCTTCGCTCGAGCAGGGCTAGGACGAGGATAAGTTCGTTCCAGAGCGTTCCGGAATGCTCTGAAAAGGCCGTGGCGCCCGAGACATCCTCCAGAACCGCTAGATCTCAGAGATTCCCCATCTATCCTCTAAGACGAAGCCAGGACGAGGACAAATTCGTGCGAGGATAAATCGAGAATATCTGATGTATCGGGCGCCGCGGCCTTCTCAGAGCGTTCCGGACCGTTCTGAGAGCGTCCTGGAACGCTCTGGAACGGACTTGTCCTCGTCCTAGCCCCGTCCGATCCTCCCCCCATTTTATCCCCGTCCTGGCGTTGAGTAGGGCTGGGGGGTCAGGTCTGCAGAACACCCCACACGGACGTCAAGGGGCGCAACCATCCTGTTCGGTCAAGCTGACATTGATGCACCACACCCGCCGTCAAGCCAAAACCTTGGACATAAGCGAATAGTTGGCTTTTGCACATCTTCGCCAGCTTAACCGGCGATGCGATTGACCACCTTGACGTCCCTTTTTTGGTGGTCCTGCAGAGGAAGACGCCCTCTGACCCTCGGCCTACTCTGAGGTCGGGCATGTTCCCCTACAGGTGCTTTGTGGACGAGACATGAGAAGTGGTCCAAAGCAATCGATCACCAAACATGCCCGAAAAATCGTCCCCAGACTGTCTTTTGCCTATGTTTGGACAGGCCTCGGAAAAAATTAGCGAACACTCATGCCACATTCATCTATGAACGCCTCCCCCTTCCCCCAATGTTCAAAGTTGGCGGTGGGTCTGATGAGTTGCACCTCGACCGCAGTCTCCCCGCCGCGTGCCAACTTTTTGAGCTTTGGGGGCAAGGGGGGGTGTTCACGAATTGTTTCCCTCTACCGGATCTTCCTCCTCTAGAGGGACGTGCCCGTCGTGAGCCTACTCGATCCTGGCGTCGCCTTCTTCCATCGGCGCTCGCTCGTGCTGCGTGCCGAGAGGAGAAGGAATTGAAGGAGAAGGAGGAGGAGGAGGAGGAGGAGGAGGAGGAGGAGGAGGAGGAGGAGGAGGAGGAGGATCTTCCGTCGGCGCTCGCCCGTGCTGACGACGGGCCGCGCCCCGATAGGGCGCCGCCGGGCGCCCGCGGGCGCCGCAGGCCGGGGGGGGGGCGGCGGGGGCGGGGCGCGCGAGGGCCCCCGGGGGGCCCCGCCCGGGCGGGGCGCGAGGGACCCCGCGGGCTCTCCCCGGGCTTCCCGGGCGCCGAGCTTCGCGTTTTTTTTTTTTTTTTTTTTTTGTTCGTCCTCCTCCTCCTCGTCCTCCTCCTCCTCCTCGTCCTTGTCCTCCTCCTCCTCGTCCTCGCCCTCGTCCTCGCCCTCGCCCTCCTCCTCCTCCTCCTCCTCCTCCTCCTGCTTCTCGTCGTCGTCCTCCTGTTCCTATTCCCTCCGTTGTCGCGCCGCCCACCCCGGGGGAATCGAAGCCGAACCGCGAAGCGCGAATAACTTCGCGTCCTCGAGGGCGCCCTTGGCGCCTCGAGGGGATCAACACATATACACGTCGGCCGGGGTCTCTCGGCGACGCGCCACGACGACGACGACGACGACGACGACGACGACGACGACGACGACGACGACGACGACGACGATGAGCGGGGTGGAGTGAGGTGTGGGAGCGGTCAGGAATCCAGGAAGGGTGGCGAGCGAGGGGGGGAAGTGAGAGGGAGAAGGCCTTCTCAGAAGGCGGCGGGGCCTCTCAGAAGCACCTGGCCTTCTGAGAAGCGGTCTGCGCCTTCGGGGGAGGCTCATAAGCTTCTCGGACGGCCGGAGGCTTTTCGAGCCTTCCCAGAAGGCCCGCCCACTTTCGCTTCCCCCCCCCGGGCTCTCCGCCGCGTTTCGGCTTGGCGCACACCTCGATCGGCTTCCGCCAATACGCCTTGATCACCGCGCCCGCGGCGTCCGCCAGCTCCTCCGCAAAGGCCACCAGCTCCGCCGCCACGGCGGCGGGATGCACTGCCTCCATCGGCGCGCTCTGCCAGTTGCCCCCGGCCGCCTGGAAGAGGATCAGATCCGCCACCGCGCTTGTGGCGGCTGATGAGCGTCGGGCCGTTGCTCGTTTGGAAACCCTGGCCTCCTGCGAAGCAGTGGCGAGGGCCCCCTGACGTTTTGTACCCAGCATGCGGTCATCTGTTCGACAGAGTCCTTGCGCTTCTTGGCCTTCCCGACGGGAAACTGCGCCCCAACAACAGTACCCCAGGTGGGATACCCGCCACGACACCTCGACCCCCTCCCCTCGCCCCTCGACCCCTGATTGCCCCGCCAAGGCGGCCCCTCGACCCCCTCCCCTCGCCCCCCCACCAAGCACCGCGCCCGACCGCGGCTGCGGATTCGCGCGGCAACGCAGCTGGATACGATGAGGCCCGACTGTGCCAGACCAGCCTCGGAAGCTGGGGCAACACAAGCGGCACACGGCCCTCGCGGGCTCCCCGAGAGCAGCGATGCGTGGCACGGACAGGTGCCACTGTGGAGAGAAACGCCCCCGACGTCGGTTGCGACGAGGTTCACGAGGAAGCCCGCCGAGGCTTGAGCCAGCACGGCTACGGAAAGTTCGCGCGCGATGGCGTCGGCGTTGGCTTCTGATTCGGCGTGGATCCTTCCACTCATGGGTGGACCGCGGTGTTCCGATAGCGCCGATCGTTCACATCGGCCGATCCTGGGCCACTGGCGGCGTTCAACCTCGCAGGCCCGCCTCGGGGACGCCGCCGCGCCAACGCAGCGCGAACCTGGCGCGCGAAGGAGGAAGGCCAAGAGGTCGTGCCGGCAGGCGTCGCGCGCAACGGCAACACGCTTGCCGGCGTGGAGCCCCCCTGGATTTCGAACAGCTGTGGTGCAGTTGTCTGTCCACTCGTGAGTTGTTGACTCCACCGGTCGCGCAAACATCCCGTCCATTGGCAACACACATTGCGATGACGATTGGCGGTTGGCATTTGCAAGCGCATCCCTGCGGCCGCGCCGGCGCGCGAACGCTCGCGCGCAGGGCGGCCAGCTAGTTTGGCATATCTGATGCGGCCGCGGTGGCGCTTGCCTGTGGGAATTTCTTACAGCGTTTCAGAAGGCCCCGCTGGCGCGGGGGCGCTTCAGTGCGGGTCGGTGACCCAAACGGGCGCGGTACCAGTATGACGTCAACAACGGCGGCAAACATGAAGAAAATGACGATGGTGGCGAGGATGACGGTGACGACGGCAAAACCAATGTTGGTGCCGATATTGGTTACGACGGCGATGCTGACATCCATGTTTCGGCGATGGAAATGATTGTGCCATTGATGATGCCGGCAGTGGCGGCTACTGGCGATTACGGTGGCGGCGTTGATGCGCTGGTGCTGATGAGGATGATGATGACGTGCGCGCGCGCAAGAAGTGAATCCATATGACATGCTTTTTGTTGAGCTGAACTTGACATTGTTGTCATATGTGCTTGGCAGGCTCTATTTTGGCATGGCGGCATGACACGGACTCGTGCACTGGGTGCGTGCTATACCAACGCATATGTCCCAAGTTCCCAACACGTTCCCAAGCGCTCCCAAACGTTCCCAGACACTCCATTCGCTCCCAAACGCTCCCAAGCTCGCCGTGGCCACTAGCATCAGCATGCGCAGCCTCGTGTTCACCGCCCTCGTCGCCGCAGGAGGCCTCAAGGAGCCGATGAATCAGATCGCGTTGGTGCGTTCAGATTGTTGAAGAGGTCGATCTTGTGAGACGTGACAAAACCAGGACCGAGGCACGCCCCGAAATCGCCCCGAGACGGCCCAGCTGTGCTAGATGCAGAAGATGCAAGTCCGTGGTGGCGCGATAGACATATAAGTCTAACTTGAAAGGTATCATGGCAAAGGCGTAAGGCGGGGGAGTTGATCCGGGCAGACATTTGGTGACTGCATAACCCTTCCAATATTTAGCCTTGACGCCCGCGTGCGGCAGGTCCGGGACCGATTACAAACCGACCTTCGGCCGCGATTTCTTTTGCGATCCGATGCAAGAGAAGGGGCGCAATTCAAATCGGCTGATCGTAAGATCGTCTCAGCTTGAGCCAAATCTAGATTCATATGGGTAAAACATGACCATTTTCTGATCCGCCCGCATGCCCAACCTATGCGACCCTCTGCAACAGTAATATCCATTTGTACACATCTGCTGACGCCAGTACTCACCGTCGTCCGCAGCAAACGCTACCATTTGGTGCACATCTGCTCATGCCAGTCCCCACGATCCCTTGCAAAAGAAGCATCTGGCGCACGTCTGCTGATCCAACGGAACGACCTAGCCTGCCCTCGCGATCCCTGCGCAAAAGACAATGCGGTGCACATCGGCTGGCCTGCGCAGCGACCCAGCGTTCGCCGTCATATGCTAAAACAACATTCGGTGAACACTTGCTCATCTTCACATCCACCCGACGCTCAAAACCCCGTGCAATAGATGGACGTCAGGTGTTCCTCGCAGCGCGCTCCATGTCTCTCGAACTCCTAAGCGTTCCCAAACGCTCCCAGACGCTCCGATCGCTCCCCAAGCGCTCCCAAGCTCGCCGTCGTCAAAAGCAGAAGAAGCTTCCACCCGCGTATCTTCGACGCTTCATCGTCCTCGTCGCCGCAGGAGGCGTCGCGGAGCAGATGAATCAGATCGCGTTGACGCATTGCGGTTGTTGAGGAGGTTGATGTCATGGAAGGAAATGCAAGCGGGTCCTACATGCGCCCCAAGATCGCCCCGAAACTGCTCGGAAATCCTGTGAGGGTGCAAATGATGCAAGACCGCGTTGGCGCGATAAGGGCATGGGTCGATCCTATGGGGGGGGGCTGAGGGCGGGGGGGATCATCTGGGCTAGGGATGCAGTGAGTTTGCGAACCTTCGCGTGTTCTGGTGTCCATCGCACTTCTGAACCCTCGCGACCCCTGTGCCCGTGCGCGGATCGTGCACCTCCCGCTTTCGTCCCCCATTCCCCCTTCACCCCCGCGATCCGATGCAGTGGATGCGACGCGGTGCGCGTCGGCTCTTCCGAGCCCCCGCGACCCCTTCCAACGGGGCCATTTGGGGGCTATCGGCTGATCCAGCGAACGCGCGCTCTATCGTCCTATGCGACAACAAATCTTTTCGGTGCACATCTGCTGATCTCCGCGCCCATCCAACCCGCGCTGCCCCTTGCAACTAAAAGCGCCATTTGGTGGGCAACGGCCGGTCTTCGCAGCGGGCCCCCCAGGCGTTCCCAGGCGCTGGGCGTTCTTATCGCGCCTCAAGCGCCGCGCTCCCAAGCTCGCAGCCGCCGCCAGCAGCAACAACATCTGCGTCCTCATCTTCGCTGTGCTCGTCGCCGCAGGAGGCGTCGCGGAGCAGATAGATCAGGCCGCGCCGCCGCGTTCAGTTAGTTGAGGAGGTTGATCCCACGGAAAGAGCTAGAAACAAGAGTCGGGCACGTCCCAAGATCGCGCCGAGACGGCCCCGAAGTGCTCGGGCGGCGCAGAGGGCGCAATATCGCGTTGCCCCTAATAAAGGGATAGGTCGACCTGCTGGCAGGGTCTCAAGGCGGGAGGAATGCTCTGGGCTGGGTAAGATGTGAGTTTTCACTTGGTGTGTGTACTTAGCTCTGACGCCCTGATCTGCCGCGCGGTCTGACGTCTATCGAAATTCTGAACCCTCGCGGGGGGGGAGGGGGGTGCTCTGGGCTTGGGGTGGTGCGCCTATAACCTTATCGGTCTAGCCCCTCTGCCCACCTCCGACCAGTCCCCGATCGGGTCCGCACCGACCCCCGGGCGCAATCCCATTTGCGATCTCCTGCAGTACTAAAAGGTACGCGGCGCGCATCGGCTGATCGTGAGATCGCAGCATCCTGAGCCAAATATATGCTCATACAGGTATGGCGTGGATTTGTTTGACTTTCACGCTTGCACAACGCATGCGATCCGCAGCAACATATTCTATGTGATGAACATCTGCTCCAACGGTACCCATGAATCGGCGCACATGTGTTGATCTTCAGGATCATCCAGCCCTGGCGATTCCCAGTAATGACGACCGCCTTTGTGGAGAAATGCTGACTTGCACAGCGACCAAACAACCAATCTTGTACATCGAGGGATTAGTCGGCGCCAGTCTGACCATCTACGCCCCCATAAAACGGTCGCGACCCGATGCGACAGGAAACGTTGGATGGACATCGGGGGATCTTCGCAGCGCGCGCCCATTTCCAAGACATTCCCTAGCGCCCCCAGACGCTGCAATCGCTTTGCGATTGCTCCCGAGCTCGTCGTCGCCACAAGCGGCAGCATCCGATTCATCGTGCTCCTCGCCGCAGGACACGTCCAGGGGCAGACGCATATCGTTTTCGCGCGTTCATATCGCTGAAAGTGTCGATTTTAAGAAACGAATTCAGGAGATAAGATAGAAGCCGGGCCCCGGCGTGCCCTGAGATCGCCCCGAGACGGCCCAGATGCGCTCGGAGGGCGCAGAGCATGGCCGCGCTGATGCGATAAGGGGATCGGTCAATCTGTGGGGGGGGAGTAGGGCTGGAAGAAATGATCCGCGCAAAAGCTAGGATTCACCAGCCTCTGGCTGGTTCACCACTGGTTCTGTGCCGTTTCCAAACCGACCCCCGCCCGCGATCCCTGTCGCGACCCCCTGCAAGCGTTCGGGATCCAGTGCTCATCGTCTCGCCGTGAGATCGCCTCATACTGAGCGCCATCTCATACTGAACACAGGCTTCGGATCACATTTCGGATTTTCGCGGTTGCCCAGCGTATGCGCCCCCCTGCAACCGGACACTATTTGGTGGACATCGGTTGATCCTCGCGTCGGCCGAACATTCGCCATCTCCTGCAGAAAACGGGACGTGATGCACATCTGCTGATCTTCGCGACCATCCAACCCTCGCGAGCCCTTGTGCAATTCATATTTCGCGGACGTTGGCGGACCTTCACGGCGACCCAACACGCGCCGTCCCATGCAACAAATAAATATCATGTCATCTGCGCATCCATCC